CTAAAAATAAACATATGATATTTATATTTATGTTTTTTATATTAATAGTAGTTTTTTCAGGCTGCACAGTGGAACAGTTGATAACACTGTTGCCTTGCAGCAAGAATGTCTTGGGATTGATTCCTGGCCCAGGGTCTTTCTGCATGGAGTTTGCATGTTCTCCCTGTGCAGGTGTGGGTTCTCTCTGGGTACTCAAACTTCCTCCCAAAGTCCAAAAACATGACTGTCAGGTTAATTGGTCTCCTTAAAATTCTCCCTAGGTGTGTGTGTGTGTGTGTGTGTGTGTGTGTGTGTGTGTGTGTGTGTGTGTGTGTGTGTGTGTGTGTGTGTGTGTGTGTGTGCGCGCGCGCGCGGTTGTTTGTCCTGTCTCTCTGTGTTGCCCTGCGGCAGACTGGTGACCTGTCCAGGGTGACCCCACCTCTAGCCCAAAACGTTCTCTGGAGATGGGCACTAGCACCCCTCCTGACTCCACTAGGGACAAGGGTGTATAGAAAATGGATGGATGGATAATAGTCTTTTCAAAAAGTTGGTAAACTTCAAAGTGTGAAATTGCAGTTAGCATGTTTATTGCATTAGCAGATCAAATACCCATTCTGCTTTGCTTTACAGCTCTCACATATATTGCTGTCATCCAAAATTGCCTTTGAAATTACTCTTATTACTCTTAACTGGTTCATCTGGAGCATTTTTTTTTTTTTTAACCTAGTCAAAGTCTTGTCTCATCTGTTTGTGGGGTTGAAGACCAGTCAGTGAACCCATTGATCTCACTTATTGATTCAATTCCTTATTTATTCTCTTATTAAATCACTGTCCATGCACCATGTTGTATTTGATTCAAACAAAATTAAAGCCGATTTAAAAAAATAATAAATTTTTGTGCAGACAATTTTGCATGGTTGCCTTTTCAGGAAGGATATTTCAGGACTTAAGGTATGGCCAGTTGTGGAGAACACCCTCTCAGATGTTATTCCTTGTCAACTGTGTAAATGTACTCCTATCTGTATTGATGGCAGTGGTACCTAAAACTAAAAGAGAGCTTCCATCTGAGCCATCATCACTCTGGCACTAGTCCTCAACTAGTCATATTCAATAGATTAGAATATTACTGAAAAGTTTATGTAGTTCAGTAATTCAGTTCACAAGTTAAATACATTATATAGGTTAATCAAATCCAACCCACACCCCTTTTCAAACAATGGGGGGGACTCCAACCCGCACCCCTTTTCAAACAACGGGGGGGGACTCCAACCCGCACCCCTTTTCAAACAACGGGGGGGGACTCCAACCCACAACAATGGGTGGGACTCCAACCCGCACCCCTTTTCAAACAACGGGGGGGACCCCAACCCGCACCCCTTTTCAATAAAGGGGGGGGGGGGACTCCAACCTGCACCCCTTTTCAAAAAATGGGGGGGACTCCATCCCGCACCACTTTTCAAACAACAGGGGGGGGACTCCAACCCGCACCCCTTTTTAAACAATGGGGGGACTCTAACCCGCACCCCTTTTCAAACAATGGGGGGGACTCCAATCTGCACCCCTTTTCAACAATGGGGGGGACTCCAACCGACACCCCTTTTCAACAAAGGGGAGGACTCGAAACTCGCAACCTATTAATGCCCCACAATGATGTTTTACCAGCTCTTATTTATTGTAATTATGATGAAAATATGATATTTAAGATTAGAATATATCAGACCAACAAAAAATATTCTTAATGCAGAAAAGTGGGTCTAATGAAAATATATTTTAGCAACATGTTGCCATTTTTAGATGTCACCAGCTTTAGGACTAGTAGTCTGTTTTTTTTTTTTTTTTTTTACTTAATAGGAAGCCCGAGTTTGTTTTTAAACTGGAAAAGGGAAAAACGGATAGCAAAAGTTTAAAACCTGCATTTTATTGTATTTTATAATCTTCACTCAAAACTCAGTAAAACAAATTTTAATCTAATTTTCTTCATCCAATTAAAAAAATACATAATGTACCTTTAGACAATTGTTTTAGTAAACTTTTATTTCATTCTAATAAAGAAAAAGAAGCACCCATCTTGCGGGTGTGATCTTTGGGGATAACATTCAACAGCATAAACATAAAATGACAAAAGAAACTTACATTTGTTCAGTTGCTTGTTAACACAAACAAATTTCATGGCAGCAACTCAATCCATCTAGATGTGTAAAAGACGATTTGCAGAAGGTTAAGCCAAGCATTAGGATGAGAAAGAAACTGAACGACATTGTTGTTGGTAACAGTCCAACTTGTCTGTAAATCTCAGAAACCTCTGTACTAGGATTCTAAAGCTTCACCATCCTGTGGTTTCATAGAGCTAGGCCTGAAAAAGAAAAAAATATCCAATGAGTGACAGTTGCGTGGACTAAAAATACCCTGATGATGTCAGAGAAGAATTGCCAGACTTATTACAGATAACAGTAGCTTAAAAAACATTGTTTCAACTTGTGCTACAAGTAAACTAGGCTCACCAATGGTTGACAAGATCTATGTTACCTGGCTACAAAGCCTAACTCAATTTCAACGGCAATATTCAGAATTTGGTTCAGACAACATGAAAACATGAATCAATTCTGCCTTGCATCAATGAATGTAGTAGTGGTGTGATAAACCAGTGGCCTTGAAGGCAAGATTTTATTTATATCATTAGTTTTTGGTATTTTCTGCCAATTGTATACTTGTCTTATTATTTTTTTACCAAATTTAACTTTATTTTCTGTCTTATTATCTATCTTTTTCAGGTTCTTTGGATGATTGTGTTATTTTCACAGCCCCCAATATTAAACACAAAGCAATGCTGCATACATAAAACACCATAGTCAAATGATGTCCAACCCAGTAATAGAGCTATCAATGGTGGGCACCCACCACCAGCAGAAACATAAATTGGCACCCCTGCCTCCAGATGTTTGCTAACAGCTGCTGCCATTAGTCTGGTGGAGCTGAGTGGGGGAGGGGTGCTACGTGGGGTAGGAGCTCGGCTGGGGCCTGCAGCCAAGCTCCCGCATTATAGCTTTGGGTGAATAGGCGACATCCTGTAGAGCAGGTTGTAAGGCTTTTCAAGGATACTTCAATTCATGAGTGACTCAAAGCAATACACTGTGTATGTGTTTGAGAGAACGACATTATAACATGTTAAGTTCAAAAAAGTTTATTTTGCACACTGGCCTGCCTTTAAGGTCTGGGATTTGAGACTTGTGCTTTTATTTGTCAGAGCATCATTATGGAAAATCTTTGTGAGGTTGAACCCATGAAAAACCTTGATATGCCTTGATACTGCTGATGGACAAATGAATAAATGAATGGACAAATGATATTTTTAAAATGTTGATATATCTTATAAATACGTATATGTTCATGCACATGCATGCAGTGTTATATATTAGATAGATTACAAGTGATGAGGACCTATCACCCATATAATCTATTTTTGTGTAATTTTTCTCATATTTCTTGTTAATGATTCAATTTCTGGAAATAAGTCGCAGCATCACTGAATGTAGGTGTCAAGACAGTAGTCAGCAAATGGTTGCATGTCACGACGTGTGCTACTGGCTGCCTGTCTTCTTTTACCAGCTTGTCTTATTACTGAACAGAGACACGACTTCTCTGCTTTATCTCTGATTAAGAAAAGGAGAAAGAGAGAGAAAATGTGAAAGAGGAATAAAGAGCAAAGTCAATTACCACCTCTTTCTCCTTCCCTTCAAAGAAATATCAAAGCTGATCCCCTACCTTCTAACACCCACCCTCATCTTTCCTTCTACTCAACCCCATCCCTCTGTCTCCATTATAGTTAGTCTGGTAATTTGCAGTTACTACCCTCTCCTTTGGAAATCTACATATTCATCAGGAAGCTATCCCTAAACCGAACGGCAATGTTTGGGTTTATTTAATTACCTTTTTCAATGGCTTTAGAAAGTTTACTGGGAAAATGTTGAACATTTTAAGCTAAATATTTCTGGAGAACTTTTTTTTCTAAAGAGGGCCATTCCAGCCATAAATCACACACACGGTTCACCTCCACACATCCTTCAAACCATAAATCTTTCTCCACATAAAGCACTGTACTCGTTTTTGTGAACACTATCATGGTAACTCCCTCTCACACACACACACACACACACGCATGCACGCACGCACACACACACACACACTCACACACACACACACACACTGCCATGGAAGTCAGATAGCAGGTTGCAGAGAATTAGACTGTACACACAAAGGAGGAGTCATTTTTGAGAGTACAGTTTGAAAGCACAAGAAAATGTTGCCTTGTGCTTTTCAGTCACAAATACTCTCATTTCTATCAAGTTGTATTTTGCAGGGACCCATGACTTAATGTCCTAATTATAGAACATGTGGAAATTTGAATGCACACTGACCACTTTGACGTCATAGTGTGGATTTAATTTGAACTTCCACTCCTATAATAATTATTTCTGCAGATGTCTATCTAATATAAAAGGCATGAAGAGCAAATATTGGTCCAAAGGCACTTCCATAGATGTATTTTTAGGAGCTCCCTATGGGATGTAAGGCCCCATAGGGAAATTTATGTTTAGCCACAAACTGCTGAATGACACATTAGAAAAGTATTTGCCCCTTACTGATTTCTTTACTATTACTCTTTTGTCTGATGCTTAAGTGTTTCTGATCATCAAACAAATATTCATCAAAATCATAGATGGCCTGAATAAACAACGGAAAAGTTTTTAAATTACAATACATCTTACTACAGGGAAATATTATCCAAACCAACTTGGCCCTTTGTAAAAATTGATTGCCTTCAAAAACCTCATAACAGCTTTCAACTGGTGGTAATAACTTGTAATCACTTTTGTATGTCACTGTAGAGCAGCTTTGAGCCACTCTTCTTTGTAGAATGGTTTTAATTCAACTGCCAAAGAGGGCTTTCAGCGTGAAAGACCTGTTTAAAATCATGCTGCAGAATATCAATTGAATTTAAGTCTGGACTTTGACTGGATCACATGATCATTCAAGGTAAACTTGCTGATGTGAATCATATCAGTCTTGATTCATATAATGATCTTAACTTCACAGACTGATACCAGGACATTCTCCCAATGTAATACCAGGACTTGCTTTAGCAATAGAAAACTTTTCAGCACACGACACACACAGCTTTGCTCATTTTGATGTGTTTACATAAGCTGATCAACATCACACCACTCTGTACAGAGAGCCATTTCATCCAAAATGAAAACGGCTCGTTTTCTACATTTGAACAGTGAAGTTCCCAACAGTTTTGGTACTTAGAAAATATGATATATTGAATGATAATTGATGCCTATTGTTAGTAATGCATTAATGGATTCTCATAAAGTGTTTAATTCTTAAAACCTTGTAGGTCTATAGGCATGCACTGAATTCATCCAATATGGCATCTAGACAAAATGTATTAACAGTTTTGACCTTCTTAAAAATTGATCTTGCTGCAGTAAGAGATGATTAGAAGCCTGCTCTGAGTAGCATATTAGTGTTACCATCCATTAAAGCAATTACACATTGTCTTTTGGGCCATTTAATGGCAACATTCATCCTTTTTGGACTTTTTAAGTTATTCTGGTTCAGAAGAAACTGACCTCAGCACCAGAAATCATAAAATCTCATTCATTTTGTTAAGGCAGGGGTGTCCAAAGTCGGTCCTCGAGGGCCGGCATCCTGCATGTTTTAGTTCTCTCCCTGGTTTAACGCATCTGGATCAAATGATGGCTCATTAGAAGGCCTAAGGAGAACATTGACATGCTGAAAATATTGTTACTACCACCAGGAAGAGAACTAAAACATGCAGGATGCTGGCCCTCGAGGACCGACTTTGGACAACCCTGTGTTAAGGAAATGGAAATGTTTGGTTGCAAATCAGTTATGCTTTCCACCGTTACTATTAGCAACCTAACAGATGATGATTAGAATAATTTAATTAAAGATAATTTAGGTAAAATGTGAATCCTGAATGTATGATTTTATATATTTAAGCTTGTACTAAGTAATAAAAGTGCAATGCTGTACACACCCTACAGTTGTGCAAGTTAAACAATGTAGCTGGAATGTATGTTGAGATTGTGCTGCTAGGGGTTCCAGCATGATTTATGGACTCGACATTCACTTTTTTTTTTTGTGATCCTGTTGCAGATTCTGGGTCAGAGCTTGTAGCTCCAGATATTGTGATTGGACCTAAAAACACAACAGTTGTTTTGGGGAAGGAAGCTACGCTGGAGTGCATTGTCAATGCCAGGTAAATTTCTTTTGTGTTCATTCATACCTGTGCTCACAAGTGTGAATAAGTCAGGGAATTCTGTTTTCCTCCATTAAAATTAGAGGTCTCTATATAATCTTGAAGCTCAGTGAGTCTATACAGGTAGACTCACTGTATAAATACAGGTACTCTACCTGTATCTATACAGGTGATGTCCTCTTTCCAGAGGACATCACAAAGACTAAAATGCATGTTTCTTCAAGCTCTAATTGTAAATCTAAATGTAAAGACTTTCACTCTGTAAAATTGCTTTTTTGTCTCCAGAAAAGGAATCAGGTCCATACCTGTATCCATGTTAGCTCAGAGAAGTCCAATCTGACATATAAACTCCAACTGATCTGTGTCAAATATTTATTTTCCATCTACACATTTATAAGCTGAATTTATGAGTCATATTTTTTTTGCATCTTTCAGAGCAGAGCTGTTTTGGATATACTTTCATAATCTTGTGATTGTCAATAGGTTGTGAATTGGCCTATTAGAAGCTCAAAAAGCTATGACATTGTTGTCTGGGCTTTATCAGAATGTTTAAACAGTAAGCAGTGGGAGGATTCGGTCATGTTCTATCAATGTAAGGCACCAGTTAATTCATTTCAAGGTTAACTGAACTAACTAGTCTATTCTATTTTAGAATAGACTCCACTATTCTAAAATGAAATTGCACAGAATATTCCCCTCATTATCTTCAAAATGAGATAAATGTAAATCCGCTGATGGCTCCACGTCACATCTGTTCTGGTCATGCCCCAAACTCTTCCAATATTGGTGTGACATTTTCAACTTGTTTTCTGAAGTGTATAAATGCATGTTGTTTCCAGATGCCCAGACTGCATTGTTTGGATATTCTCCTTCACTTAGGAACTGCTGCATTTCTATACAAACGACTGTGGTGTATGGAATGGTAATAGCTAATAAAGTAATATTAAGATTGTGGAAAACTCAGTTTAAAATGTGGTTATGTGATTTTACTGAGATTCTTCATTTGGAGAAACTGTGGTATGATGTTGTGGGCTCCACTAATAAATTCTGTAGTATCTGGCAGCTGTTTTTGGGCCATCTTTCTCAGTCTAAGACTGACTCTGACGCTCGCTCAGCCTCTTAGTATACCACACGTGCCTTTATAAGGCACCATCCTAAAGTGTACCACTTTAGGATGGTGCAGTGTAACCAGTTATTTAGATAATTGTCCTGACTTGTTTATATTTTATTTTATTTTTAGTTATTGTATGTTTTTATTTGGTAACACTTTATTTGAAGGGGGGTGAATAAGACTGACATGACACTGTCATAAACACCTGTCGTTAACATGAATAAGCCTTCATGAATATTTATGACTGTTGTCATAAAGCGTCATTCGGTTAATTATGACACTTTTAATACAAAGTTGACATTATTCAAAATGTCTTTATTACATCTTAACATTAACCAAGAAATCATTACTGATATAAATTTGTTATAAAAGTATTACTGATTGCACTTTAAAAATTAGATAACTTTATGTTATTAAAGGTAAAGTTTAAACAGTAATGATTTCTTGGTTAATGTCAAGTTGTCATAACAAAGACATTTTGAATAATGTCAACTTTGTATTAAAAGTGTCATAATTTACCGAATGACGCTTTATGACAACAGTCATAAATATTCATGAAGGCTTATTCATGTTCAAGACAGGTGTTATGTCATGTTTATGAAAGTGTCATGACGGTCTTATTCACCCCCCTTCAAATAAAGTGTTACCTTTTATCTTCATTGTCGTATTGGTAAGAGTATATCTTTCTTATACAATAATTTTTAACTATATATATGCTTCATACTCTTGTGTATGATTTATGTATGCTGTATTTAAAAAAACTTTATATATATATATATATATATATATGAGTAAGCAGTGGATATTTAGTGACCGTAGTGTACTTCTGAATCAGAGGCAAATAATAGAAAATAATAAAAAGTAAATCAATGATATTCCTCAGTATTATACCACTTAATAAATGGTTATGCTAACTCTAACTGACCTAAAACAAGTAACCTTCCTTCCTTCCTTACTTCCTTCTTCACTTCCTTCTTCCCTCCCTCTCATTCTAGCTCCTCTGGAGGAATCTCAGCACAAAGCAGAGACCCAATCCTAACGCTATCAAAGCAAATCCCGTCAACACCTTGGCTGCTGCTGGAAATTCTGTCTATATAGATTATGAATAGAATCACTATTCTGTTCAGGATGTAACAGGTGTTATATATAGATGTTAACTATCTAGTCATTTTTCTTTGGACATATATGCACAATACATTTTTTATGGGGTACATATTATACTTTATTGATTGTTGAAATAATTTACATCACAAAACGGCAAAAAAAAAAAATCCTTGGCAGCTTTTATATATATATATAAGGTGATAATGTAGAAATTATGTAGGGGCTAGTTGTGCTGAACAAGCTTTATTGAAATTTTTTTTGTTATTGTTGTTCAGCAAAACTTTTCATTAGTTTATCATTTGGACTTGACCAGCAACTTGACAGCTTTTAAGTTATGGAATAACAATCAATTATCAAACATTTTAGAGTGGAGGAATTTACCTGCAGTTAAAAGCAGCAGACGCCGTGTCAAACACACAAACAACAGTATAGTCAGATCATACATTTTTAATTCAACGCACGATAATTTAGTCTTCTGTGCTCCTCATCTGCATGCAAACTAGCTCAGCTCACATTTTCCTGTTCTTTTCCCAGAGAGAAAAGGTACTTTTCACTCTACTTTTAACTGCTTCTGCTGTCAAAAACAGCATTCAATGAAAAGCTTAGCTGATATTGACACTTTTATAAGTTTTATTCTTTCATACCACGGAAGAGAGAGAAACTTGAAAAAGTTTGGCCAAACTGAGAGAACGATCATTGAAATCAAGCGCTTTGCCAAAGTCTATAATCATCTGCTTTCCACAGTCAATAATTACTGGGTGCTGTAAATGCACCACTGCAGCCTGCTTGAAGGCTGAAATTATTAGAAGCCTGGTGGAAAACAAGTAGAGGATAATCTTCTCTGTACTTCACTCAAAATGTGATTTCCCATATTCATATCTAGCTGAGCATTTTTAACCATTGTGCAGCAGTAATTATAGACATGTGGTCAGCTCTACAAAACGAGGGAAATTTGTTATTTTATAAGGGTGAGCATGAACCTTTGTATAGGTTGGATATATTTTTGGGATAACTGTCTTGTTGGAACACAGAATTGTCTCCCAGTTTAATTCCAAGCTGACTAACTCATTGCTTTTTAGCCTGTAGTATTCGTCTTACACTACCATGAGTTTGCTGGCATCTGATGAATCCTGTTTCACTTTCATAATGTGTCAAACAATGCTCCATTTTCATTATGGAGGTCAAAATAATCGACGTTCAAAGTCGAGATTTTTTCCCTTCTTAACGAAGGGCAGAAATTACAACGTTTTGTACCACTCACTTGAAAACCTGCCTACTACTACTTGGACATTCATAAGTTTTCAGATTTCCAATGGCTGTATGCAATTCTTTGTAAGTGATTCTGGCTTATAGCATTTATATTAACCAACACAGAAGAACTCCAAGTTACAAGACAGACAACCATGGCACTGTGCAGCTCTGAGTATCTAATTATTAATAGTAATGTATGTATATAACTGACTCTTTATTTATCATTTTGATGTAGGAATTACAGAAGTTGCTTTAGCCTAACTGTTACAAAATAATTTCAAATACCACTTCAGATGCACTCTTGAAAGCCTAAACCTAATTGCATTCATGCAGATGATGTGTACGGAAACTTCAGACCAGATTTGTACATCTGAAAGAATAATGATAAGCAGAATCTTATAGCATGCTCTTTCAACAAAAATCAAGCATATATTTAAATTTGAATAAATCAGCTTACAAATATTAAAGCAATTTAGTATTCATAAGGTAATTAAAACTATTTTCTGTGATTGTTTTTGTCATAGCTTTAGTTTTGCAAACCTCTCATAATTAAATATTGTTGTAATAACATTACATTTTGTTTAAACACAGTTTTAATAATCTTTAAATGCTTTAATATATTTTTGCAGCTTTCACTTGCATAATTTCATTCAATTAAATGAAATAATTTTTGTGTATGTCTGTTTGTAAACACATCCTGTTTGTAAACACATTACTGACCAACCGTCTTCAACAAAATGTACTTTTAGGCCAGCTACTGATCATCTCCACATGCATTAAGTCATCTGTAAACCTTAAGAAAGTTTACAATTGATTTGTTCCTAGAAAACATAAAGGATTAAGTCTCAGCAGCTGAAAACAGATTTTAAAAAATATTTTTATGAGCAGATACTGTGATGCATTATTGCTGTCTTACACAAAAACAAACATGTTAAAGAATGGTATTTTGATGTTGTTTATCCACAAAATTCCATTTTCCATGAAAAGCCATTTCCTTTCTGAACATTTTAAAAAAACTGATGAATGTTCCTTCATGCTGAGCAGAGCTGACGGCTCTGATATACAGACTGTCATCATTCATTTTCTGCCTCATTGACAAATAAACTGATGGATTTAATATGTCGTAATTGCTTTCAGTCAACCCATTTCTTTTTTTCTCCCAATTCTCTTGATTCTTGTTTCTCTCTTTTTTTTATTCTGTACTGCTTTTCTCTTGCCAGACCGGTTGATGGCCTTGCGGTGTTATGGAAACGTGGTGGACATTGGCTGGCCAGTGGGCGTCGGCTTATTGTTCCTGCTGCCACCTCTTCTGATGCAGGGTTGTATGTTTGTGAAGTGTTGGTTAGCAACAGCACTATCAAACCCGTGGAGGCAAGGGGATACCTGACTGTAGTGGGTAAGAAAAACACCCGTCATACTGACTTAGATGTTTGAAACTTTGCCACTTGTTATCTGGTGAGAGTTCACATCTGAATCCTTATTAAGGCTAACTGTAATGTGAAAAGAATAGCATATCTGACTAAGACTTACTCAGAAAAGTGTGACTGTGTTAACAGACTTACTTCCACAAGCCCGATGCCTAACACCATTTTGGGCCTGGAAGCCTTCATCATGTTTTGTCTGTACACTTCTAGCTCAGTGCTCTGTTTTAGTCTGTTTATTTCTTCTTCACTTCAAAGTGTAACTGAGGGCTAAAGCTATGGCCTGTCAGCTGCAGGATTGTTCAATCCATTTGTCTCCATCCACCAGTAAAACATTTGCTGTGGACACAAACTGCTGCCATAGTCACCAAACCCCCTCATGAACTTTGCAGTTTTATCATGCTACAACCTCAAACTTGATTTTAATTTAGAGCATAAATGTGAAGCAGAAAGAAAAATTTGCTTTTTCACAAAAGTGCAGCAAAGAAAGGTATTCATTTCCTCATTACTCCAATACCCTTAAATAAAACCCATTGCTTTCAGAAATCCCCTAGTCCACATTTCTGTTACTTAATGTAAATTTAAATGCAGATGTTCTGTGAAGACTTTGGATGCTAGAAAGAACAAACAGCATCAAGGAACACAGCAGACAGTGAACAAGTTTAAATCAGGCTCAGGTGATAAAATAACATAGCAGACTTTGACCATCCAATGATCACTTCTCCATCTATCATCATAAAATGGAAGTTATGTCAGCTACAAACATAGAAAGATATGGTCATCCTTTTAACACGGACTGTTCAGATTTTTTTTTTTTTTTTTTACAACTTGATTTTTTTCTACAAAGCGACAGTGGAGAGGAAAAACTCACATTCAACAGGAATAAATTTTTAGCACAACCTGAACTTGACTCAGTACAAGCGGCTATCAGCCGCAACCAGACAAGAAAAAAAGATAAAGAAAAAATTAATAGCAGGACAGGGAGAACAAATAATTGTTGGCAGCATTATCTCAAACGATGCCATCCTTCAGCTACACAGAACCCCAGATTGTCATGATGTCTGAGTGTTTGGTGTTGTCGTGGGGTTTTGGGTTCCATGAGTTTGTTATTCATAGTCTTTGCTTATTCATCTGTGAGTTTGGATTCATGGTTGTCCTGGTGTCATGTTTTATTCTTTAGGTTTCTTTCTATTTAGGTTTTATTTAAATTTGAGTTTTTGTTTCAGTTAGTTTCACCTAGTTCTCATGCCTGGCCTCGTCTCTTAGTTATCCTAGTCTTCTGTTCTAACATGATTATAATGATCCCTATGCTTCTGTCCTGTTAGGTTCTAGTATTCATGTTTTGATCTTCTTTTCATTTGTGAGCAGGTTCTGTTATCCTTCAGATGTCAGTTTTTATTTCTTTTTTGCATTTATCAGTTTACTTCTCCAACTCAATCTTCTCCCTCTTAGTTAGCTCATGTTTTTCTCCTGTGTTACTTGATCAGTTATTCTCCTCTCCTGTCTCATGTAGTATTTAAGTCCTAGTCATGCCTTTGTCTGGTGTGGGATTATTGTGGATTATTGTGCGTCTTGTACCTGCAGTTTGGTGATCACTCATGTCAAGTCAAGTCTTTAAGTTAAATAAATCTTCATGATGTCACATTGCTGTTTGCATTTTGGCTCTCCCTTGTCTCCATCTTCACCAATCCTTACGCAGATCAGCTTCATCTTCTATGGAGAACAAAAACACTAATAGAAAACATTAAGTTAACATTTGAAACAGCAACAAATAATGCAAATTGGAGAGTAGAAGTGAAAGAGGGCAGAGGAAGATATTAAGGAAAAGTGGTCAGTTAGTCCTCTTGCAGCATAATCCCTTAGCAGCAGGATAGCAGGACACCTTCCTCCCCACTGCTATAGACTCTGCTGGCCAAGAAGAGTGTTAATATAGGAAACAACCAATAAGCCCATGGTAACTTTGGAGGAGCTGCATATCCTTAGCTCAGGTGGGTCGACACCATAACCGATTGCTGTGGACTTCATGAAGCTAGACTTTATGGAATGACAATGAGAAAGTCTAAGTACTGAATAAGTGGTCCTGAACACCAAAACAGCTCAAATTTTCCTTTGAAAAATATTTTTAAGAAACATTTTTCAAATGTATCCTTTCACTTCCCAATTACGCTCTACATTGTGTTGATCTATCATATAATATCCCATTGATATTTAACAAAGTTTGTGGTTGCAATGTGATAAAATATAAGGAGTATGAATACTTTGGCATTCTTACACTGACACATGTCTATATGTTCCTCATGCTTACACACATTCACCAAAGGGCCACCAAAAAAGTGAAAAAGAAAGCATATGCCTCTTTCACTCAGCTGCTAAATTAGTTTTGCTCCCTGGAGTCAGCAATTAATAGGAGAACATGGAAAATGCCCAAATAAGAGTGCCCTCATGGAAATCCACTGCTGTGCTCAATGTGTGTGCAGGAACACACAACAAGTGAGAAAGTAAGGAGTGTGTAATTGATGAGGCGAAACTTTTCTCCCCTGGTTTGAGTGTCTTTTTGATCTTGTGCGATTGTTGGAGCAAAGGAGCACCTAAGCAGAGAGCACGAACTCCTCACGCCTCCAGAATACTGAGTCAGAAAAGACCTGCCTGAATATTGATTCTCTTTCTGTGTGCCTCCCCGTCAGCCCTTCCCTTACTGTGTAGAACCAATTTTTGGACCTTCTTCTTGGCTCTATCTTTCTGCGTTCCCAGTGCAATCACTCTCTCCACATTATCTACCTTCATTAGGCCAGCAGCTCTTTTAAGGCCTGCCTGACAGCAAAAAAGTCTGCATGGATTCATGTGTATCAGAGGACTAGAGACTGATGAATACATTGGTACAGATCTTCCTTTTTTCTGGGACAAGCTAGCAGACCTTGGTGCAATAAAAAAGATTCCCAAACAGAATAGTGTATGTATCTCCGCCTCAAAGGTATTCATTATTCAATTTTATTCTCTTTCTTGCCCCAATCCACTAATAGGAATATGTATGACTTTCCATCTTCCTGTTGTGTACCCTACTGGCTGCAACAACAGTAGATACCCATTGCTGGTCTCCTGTGTTAAAGTGTGTGCAAATATAGAACATGTAATGAAGTTTTTGTACAAAAAAAAAAAAAAAAAAAAAAAGTGTTTACTTGCTAAGTACATACATTTACAGTAAAAAGAAAGTCAGTCACATTTGTATTTTGGCTTATCATTTAGTCTTTTTTCAAGTGAGCAGCATCTCTTACGAGTGCTACTCTGTTTCCATAGATCCCATAGCTTGTGTCAGCATTTAGAACAGCTCTAGTGGAGATGTTTGTAAGGAGCCATTATTATTGGCAGCAGAATAGAGCAGTTTAAAAGGGGATTGTTTCCCCAGGGAGATCTACAACGTGTTTTTCTGTTACTGCTTGGAAGTCAATTGAAGAAATATATAGAAATAAAAATCCTTCTTTTCAGCATCACATAGGTTACCTAATGCCAAGAGAGGAAAAGGTTTTATTCTGCTAGAAAGAATTTCTTTACATGAATTTAGTTCAAGTTAGTTAGAAAACAAGATGCTTGCATAAAGTCTTACTTTGTTCCTCTCTCCAGAGCCACCTTCACTGACTGTTCAACCCAAAAGGAAAATCGTTGCCGAAATCGACAGAAATATAGAAATCCCCTGCAAGGCTTCAGGTACACTGTTTGTGCTCTGTGTGTTTGTGTGTGAGAATATAAAATACTTCAGATGAACTACTTTCTATTAGGTGATGTTCCAATCAAGACTTTTTATATCTAATATCCATCTGAATAATTTAAGATTAGTTATCTTAAAATGTCTTGTTTCCATGAGGAACGCTTTCCTGGAGTGCTAGGCTATTGCTAGCTTGTTTACCTGGTATTAGGGTAAATAAATAGCTGTAGATTTGAATGCTTTTCCATTTAGGTGTATTTGAACAGAAATAATAATAAAATAAATAAATAAATAAAAACTCTTCCATCAACAACTTTGGTTTTGTTTTACATGTCTAGTGTTTCAACTCTGCAGGCCACAATAAACTATGTTATCTGCCATCAGAGCATATGGATTCAAAATCAACATTAATTATTCAGCTAACTATCGTGTTTTTTCTCTTAAGGTGACTAAACTGGAGAGCTGTTGATGGAAGGTGTTTCATATTCTTTTGTTCTAAAGCCTTTAGGTTTGCTACTAAATGGCTCATGGATCTAATGAAACATCTAATGGCAACTTTAAATCACAATGTGGCAGACATTGGATCCTCTATTTTGGACACATTTCATGTTCTGTAAGGTTACTCTGTCCATCATCTATCTGTGTTGACCATTGTTTAATTTGTAGCACAATATTTTACCTTGAAGATTGCATGGAGAGTGCAACTGAGCTTGTAGCAGCATAAGCATGTAGTTTGGCTAAATCCAGGCTTGGAAAATTGCACTTGTTCATGTCTCTTATCTTTAAATGGATTACATGAAAACACTTACACTGCTGGACGTGGTTCTCAAAACTGCAACATGCTCCCTCTCTCATTCACTCTTCACTCCCTCTCTTACACACACTGAGTGAGTTCATGTTCCTCTTCAGTAATCTGATACAGTGGCAGTGTAATTAAATAGCAGAGGCCTGGGGATACGGAGAGAAAGATGGAGGCTAGGAGCAGGAACGAACCAAGGAGAAAAGACAGAGTGACAGAGCAAGCCAGACAAGGAGGGGGAGAGAAATATTTCACGCGTATCTAGGAAAGCTCGACAACAACAGATTGAGGAAGTCTGAAGTCCATCTCTCTCACCCTCTAAGACACACACGCACACGCACACACACACACACACACACACACACACACGCATACAAGCACATACACAGGTGTGAAGGTGCAGGCAGAGTAATTGCATGAGCTCACTGCTCGTCATATCTGGCATGTCGGTCAGACGGGTGGGTTCTGATACTGTAGATATTGTGCACTTATCCTCATCTTTTATTCAGAATGTTTTCAGGCCAATTCAGCCACCTGTGCTTCACCACCCATATCCCCCGATCAATATATTATTAACACTCATTATGCTCACATGCATATTTATAGAGGCGGATTGGATAAGAGAGGGGAAAGATGGTGGAAGGAAAGAGCATGGCTGCTTTAGTGGGAGTGGGAGCAGTTACCTCAGCAGTGAGGTCAGCTGGCGTCATATTAGTGAAACCAAAAGAATTTCTTATGAGTTGTTTTGCTGTTGCTGAGATTGGTTTTAATATCTCTGTTCGTATGTAGGCGTGCCGCAGCCAAGGATCGAGTGGTATAAGGACACAGTGCCTCTTTCCAAACTGGCCAACGCTCGCTACAAGGTCAGCTCGGCCGCTGGGCTGACGGTGCGCAAGGTACAGCCAGGAGACGGAGGAATATTCCAGTGCTTCGCTCGCAGCCCAGCAGGAGAGACTCAAGCTCACACAGAGCTCCTTGTTTCAAGTAAGTTTGTCTGACATGGATTCATAAGACATAAACGCAAGTTTCTCTTAGGCTTCTTTGGCGGATTCCTCTTCTGCTTGTTATATGATCACATTCACCGTTCATGTTGGATATTAAGTTAAACTCCATACTGGCATTAATTAATAATTAATACTGGCATTAATTTTATCTATTTCTGAAAGAGTAGTTATTCTATGAGTTGTGCACTTATCCTCATCTTTTATGAGATGAGATGGGACCACTTTCTGCTGAAGAAAGTGGTCCCATATAATAAAAATCATATCACTAATTTATTTTTAACAAAATCAAATGTAAGTAAGTGATATGTGTATTAAATGTCTGATTTTTATAACTGAAGTTAACAGTTACTTAATTATTCTATAAAATGTCTCTATGTGCCTGGAAAACACATAATACTGCCCACTTTAATCATTTGAAATCAGGTGTTCTGATTCATTGAAATTTTTGACCAACATTACTTGTAAAATTAAACCAACAGTGTTGGTTTAAAACTGCACTTAGACTTAACCTCTTCATATTTATATTCTGTTTAGTGAGATTAGATATTAGATATAATTCAAAGTGTCCATGATGCCTCTCCAGCACCCGCTGGCTACATTTATGCACATGCACGTAGCACCAGGTAGTAAATAAAGCCCCCATTGATTAGCGAGGCTGCCCTGGTGTTTAGATCAACACTGACATCCTTTCCATTTCCATTTTTTTCTCTTCTGTTGCTGAGCTTTGCATCCTGTAACTTTGCTTTTAATATTCATCCTATGCTGTCAAGGTGCTTATATTATGTTGCTGTGTTTCAGGTGTGGCTCCCACAGTTCTGTCCCGTCCTTTTGACCAGACAGTAACTGATGGTGATATGGCTTTATTTACCTGTCAGAACAGTGGAGCTCCAAAACCTGCCGTCATCTGGAGAAAAGGTGCTGAGCCACACAATTCACTCTACACACACCCATGATTGCAATTTAAATTGGCGTAACTGACTTTCTGTCATATGTAATTTATTGTTTTCTCACTCTGTAGGATCACAGATCATAGCCAGCGGCTCGGTTCAGGTTCCCAGGTTCACACTGCTGCAGTCAGGCAGTTTGCAGATTCAGCCGGTCAGCATCCAGGACTCAGGAGAATTCACCTGCATCGTGTCCAACTCTGAGGGAACCGTCAACACCACGGCTGCACTCACTGTGTGGAGTAAGATACATGCACACACAACCAAAAATACTATAAGCAGCTCAGGATACCAGACTTGGAACATCAGTTTATCTACAGTATGCCTGCCCAATTGTGTTCAGTCAGATGGTTGAGCTTGTTGATAGCAGCTGTTTGTGCTGCAGGGAAATAAAATATATTTTTATTTGCCAGATAAAACGATTTTTTTTTTTGCGTAATCAGTTTTATTATTATGCAAAAAAATATGCAGACATACATATATGTCTGCATGCATGCAGACATATATTTATTTATTTGAAAATTATTTCATTGCAATTTTCTAATGTATCTAGGCTAAAAGAACACATTTTCATGATTTATTATTATTATTTTTTATTTAAATAGAACCTTTATTTTTGCATTTAATGTTTGTATCCCCCCAGGACACATTGCTGGTTTGGGGTATAAAAATTATACTTTTAGATGTTTGTAATAAGGTTTGAAACACATTTTAAAATATTGTATGCAATGAATCTGCCTTGTTTTTGAATGATTTGCATTTCAAAAATATACAAATTAATATTAATTAAGTTTATGTAACAGCAATTCACAAATGTCTCAGATTAGTTAAAAAAAATCAATTCAACCCAATAACTTTTATTAAGCATGTATGTAGTGACAGTGGATTGGTATAATTCTCCTTTAACAGGAAGAAACCTCCAGCAGAACCAGAACCTGACTCACAATGGTCAATCTGTCACTACACTTAGAAAATGCACTGAAATACACTGAATTCATACATAATACCCAATAAATTAAAATAATCCACATTTGACAGTAAAATAAAGCTTAAACAATGTTTTTTAATAGCGATTATCTATAAATTTAAAGACTTGAAATCAGAAATCAAAGAAAATTTGAGTATAACTATCCCTCTTTTGTACCCCTAACTGGGCAACGTATCCCCCAGGATACAGACATTCCACGTTTCGTTATCTAAGATGTTTAAATGTAATTCTTTTTTTTAAATACACACACACACACACACACACACACACACACACACACACACACACACACACACACACACAAAAGAAAGTTCTCTCACATCAGTATGTATATGAAAAATAATAATGTATGTCTTTGTCCATATAGTCCACCACTTTGACCTTTATATACCTGTATTAGTTTGTTTTTGAGTGCTGGCATAAGGTCACATGACCTCAATATTTTCCCCAACTCCCTCTTAAATGTGTCAAGAGATGTGAAGTGCAGGTGGTTGATAACCCTCTTGTCTACATCATAGAAAATTTCTGTATCCCACAGGATACAAAACCCATTTAAGGGTGAACAGATTTACAAAATAAGGTACAGTATTAATACAATTATGAAAGGAGAGCAAAATTATGCATGATGTGCAATAGTGTGCCTTCAACCTCCCTGAGTAAATGTTCTGCAGAGTAATTTTTGCTGGATTGAAGCTACACTGTGTAATATTTATTAATATCTGTTTTTTATATATTTCTTAAGACTGTCCCCTTATTGTGACAATATAATATGAGGCAGATGATTTGTTTTCTCAGGAAACATGAACCTGTCCATGTGTGATACAGATGGGAAGAACTAATGAGGTTTCATTTAGCTTTACTCCCACTTTCTACATTTTCACTTTTTACTTTTTAGGTCGTACAGTTATTTCTGTGCCTCCAGATGACCAGCGTGTAATCAAAGGAACTACAGCTGTTCTGGCCTGTAATGCGACACATGACCCCAGAATTAATATCAGGTAGCTGCTTATTAAAGTTATAAAGAACATGTATTAAATTTTTTTGATTCTCTACTAATGCACCGTTCCCTTTTTGCAGCTTTAAGTGGTACCGCGGCGGCGTACCGGTGCTTCCAAGCAGCGGTGGCCGTGTTTCTGTGCAGCCAGGTTCTTTGACTATTAGCCAGACGTGGTCAGGTGACATTGGGGACTACACTTGCAGTGTGATGTCACAAGCAGGCAATGACTCCCAGTCTGCACGCCTCGAAGTCATGTAAGTTTAAGAAATCAGTTATCCATGGTGGCTCTCAAGAGGTCTTTTTCTTTTAAATGCCAGTTTTTTGTAATTTAACAAAATAAGACCATTATAAATCCTTTTATTATTCTTTAAAGAAGTGCAATAACCTACTTGCTAAAGTGAACACACCCTTAAACATTTCAGTGTGATTTTGACATAAAGTCTTCTTTGGAAGGGCTCTGTTAGCATGCCACATCTTCTGTCAGGTTGTGGGAACATTCCTTCACTATAATCCTGTTCCGTTGACCCCCCACCTTTTGTCAGACTCAGACTATTCCGAAACATACATTTTCTTGTGATGAAGCTAGTTGTTGATTTGAGTGTAAGGTTGGCTCAGATGCACAAAAACATTTATTTTCCATTCATCTTTAGCACAATCTGTAAATTGTAGCTCAACACTGAGTGGTATTTGAATTGGTCATAATTTTATCTAACAATTCCATGTTGCACAATGAGAAGGGGATTCTTTGAGTAATACACAAATCAAATTACCTTTGTCCTACAATTTTCTAATATATAACATATTTATGAGTTAAGTGAAACCTAATAGTTATGTTCAGGCCACTTGTACAAAAAAAGCTTTAGAAAGAAAAAGGTATTTTGATCAAATATGTACTTCAATCAGAGTAATTATGTTGAAATTATTTAAACATGTTGTTGTTTTGTTACCCAAAACAAGAGGAAGTGGACTTCAAAAATTTCTGAAAATGAGTGTCGGTGAGGAAAAATTAAGCATAATAAAAAAAAACATCCACTAAATTTAGAAAACAACAAGCCAACTGATACATATTTTAAAAAGTAACTGTATTTCTGTCTAAATATATTATTTACATGTTACCCAGCTACAAAAGTACTAGCTTGTCAAAACTTGTACCTTGTTTACACATCAGCTCTGCACTAACTTTGTGATTTGGCTCAAAGCTTCAACACTTGCTTTGTACACAAGAGGATCTCTGACCTTTTTCCATGATTAAATTAATGAGCACAAGAAACATAGTTAACATGAAAGATGCATTACTCTCTGCTCGCTTACGAAACATGGAACTGCCTTTTACATGACAGACAAACAGACAGACTCCCCGGTTATTCAGCTGTGAACAAATCAACAGTTGTTGATTTTATTAAGAATTACGCAGAAAACCAAGCCATCATGCTGCTGGGTCGACGTCCTGGGCACAGCACAACAATAAGTTACTCCCAACTCATATGCCCAATCTGTCATTGTTGCATGTCTACATAAAGTTTGTGTGTAAAGTTTCATTTTTATAAAACAGTGAAATGCTTCTAAAAATCAATGTCCGTTTGCCATCTTTTATTTATTTAGTATTATTACTTAATTTCCCTTTGGGGTCAATAAAGTATTATTGAATTTGAAAATATTAAATCAGACATTTTCCTTAAAATTGTATTGTCAATGTCTTATACCAAAATGTCATTATATCTATGCTCTTTACCATTATGATTTTTTTAATGAAAGTTTTATTGATTATGTTTCTTATCTATCAAGATAAAGTTATTTTTTAAAAATCATGTCTTTTGGCTTTTGTAGTCTTTAATGTCATTAATACAGGTCAGCTCTGTGTTGTCTTTAAACATTCACTGAACTTTTATGACTGCAAACGTTCAGTTTATTGAACATTTTCTGAATGTTCAATGCTAGCTGGGAAGTTGTTGCGCAGAAGAGGATGATGGTGTAACAGTCATTTTGCTAAAGTGAATTAAAATGGAAATTGTGTATACTTTTTGATAAAAATAGTATTTATGGTGTCACCAAAATCAAGTTATACCCTATGTTTCTCTCCCTCCGTCCACTAAAGTTTTACAAATGACTCCATGACAGAAGCTCTCAGCACTTTTGGAAAACCAGACAAAAGCTGAAAACTGCTAAAAATATATTTTTCCAGCTCTCATAAGTCAGACAAAGTGCACACCTTGCAAAGCAATTTTTAACTGTTGACATCTATGCTGGTGCGTGTGTGTGTGTGTGTATGTGTGTGTGTGTGTATACACACACGTGTGGCGTGGTGGGGGTGTGAACAATTCGAGGGTGTAAAGTAGATTTGGAAAAAAACTTTGAAAGCTGTTTTCTCTCAAGAAGATCGATTGAAGAGTGCCAACATTCAAATGTTTTGACTTCCATACGTTTGACACAATTGGGAAACTTTGAATCTATACTTTTAGCATCTGTAAATAACTCAAAACGTTGTTGAGTAGACTTGTTCCTACTTTTGCTGTGGCCAGCCACCTAGGAGGTGTTGCTCATACCCGTTCACCTGTGTGGTCCTCCATCCCTCCTCATCACCAGTTGCAATGCATCACCAGTACATTGATGACAAGTGCATTGACATGTACACTGACATGTACTTGTCAATGACAAGTACATGGTAATTTTACATTACCATGGCTGTTGTGAGGTGGCAGTTAAAACATGATGCTTGTGTGGCCAGTCTTGCTTTTCTTATATGGATGCAGACAACATGTTGTGAATAAGCTGTTAGCCAGGTCACAGATATGCTGCCTTCATAATGACTGAACCACGGTGATTATACCACAGATGTTTTGTGCATGCTGAAACTACCTGGGGAATTTGTGCTGTGTGTCTAGAATAAAATCATTTCTGAGCCAGATAAAAACAAATCTTTGTCTGCTAAAACTCTACAACCGATCAAGGTTAGTTTATTTTTAATATAGCAAAATGGGAATGCGGTCTGTTTACATTCATACCTTGGTTTTGTTTGAGTGAACAGTTTCCAAATGTTTCCCACTGAGTCTGACATTCCTGGCTCTCACATTAAAACATGTCACACGCATTTTAAATGTATCCCACGCTCCAGCCCACAAATCCTCATTACTGTTGCTGTGAAAGAACAGGTAGTGGCCTTTATATATTAATAGGCACTTTAATAACATATTTATGAAAAGGCACTTATGATATATTAATATAATTGCAGGGTAGGAGAAAGAGAGACAAGCATGAGTCCACATCCATCTAAATTATGGAGAGAAAAGAGGTTACACATGTCAAACACAGTGGGAGGGAGCAGATCTGTGTTTACAGCTGTGTGAAAACATGAGGGAATGAGGGGGATTCTGTTCGGCTTTCTGCACCAGTGTGGGTGTCTGTGTGTGCATGTGTGTGTTTGCGTGCAACCACATGTGTGACTGACATTCTCGTTAGCTCTGTATCAATGGTTCATAGAGGCTAACAGACGCTGGCGGCTTAGGAGACAGACTAATTACCAGCAGGTTATTGGTTCAACTCCCATAAGACCCGTTCATGTGTCTGCGTGAGTGCATGCATGTGTGTGCATGTGTGTTGTTTTGTGGGACTGATTGTTGAAGCAGTTGATCTGACATTCTCTGATTTCTCCCATTAATTAATATGATCATGTCAGCTCAGAAATGAAAACCTTTTCATTTCCTCTGACTGTTTTGTTGTTTCATTCAGTGCTGCAGGGATTGATGTGCTGGATTACAGAATTCCTCTCAGTCTGGAAGAGAAGTGTTTGTGTTGTCTTATTGTAAATAATTTCTGTCCATCTGCCCATACTTCCTTCCTTCCTTGAAACCAGACATCCTTCTGTCCATTTATTCATTCATTTATCCATCTTACCAGTTTCCCAGCAAACTTCTTAAGGTTTTATCTGTACAGAAACATGCTAGCCTACTTTAACTGATGATGCTAATTCCAGTTTGCTCAGCATATATTCCCAGAGCTGCGATTGGTAGAAAATAATTACTAACCTCATGAAAATGGCAAGCAGTGACTCTGAGAATAAATTATACTGTCTTTCATCATGGTTTTCCCATTAATACATTTATATATGTTATTTTATGTTGACTGTAAATGTCTTGAATTGTGCCAGCAACTGCAGCTTTCACCACTGAGACAACCACTGTTGTCGCCTTTCTTTTCCCCATCCCCCCTGGGAGCCAAACATATTTAAAGAGAATTATGATGCACTAAAATTGCTATAATCAGATGTCTGGATTCTCCTTATTGCTTTCATGAATATATCTGTGTAGCTTTCTTGTTATTAAAATGGCACGGATGCACAAATTTCTGCAGGGGATGACCAAATGTCTGGAAAATTTATTTTTAATAGATGCAGAGAGATATATCTGTGGTGTTGCAGAGTGTGGGAAGAATAAGAATATGCCAGCCAAAACAATATATATAATATATGTGCTGAACCAAAACGGAGAATTAACTAGAGTGCTAAGGACAAAATTATTCTAGTTGCAAATATATAATAGAATAACAACACACAGGGGAAAACAACATATTTTTAATGAATCATCACTCCACATTGTGAGAGACTTGTTTATAACTTGCAGTAGCATATGGATAATTATAGATTGGCCCTTTTGTGTTGATATGGATGTTAAGGAAGTCTTTCCAAATACAAATTTAAAGCTAATAACTTTATTTACAACAGATTTGCAGAAAGAGCAGAAACTGGGACAAATGCCTAGTTTAAGTGTGCCAGAAAAGAAAAATCCCAGTGGATGCAAAGCTCCCTAATTAAGATTTTATAACTTGTTTGCCTAATCTGTACGAGATGTGAAAAAAGCAGCATGATGAGGAGCTGCACAGAAACATCTCTTGGTGGGCAGAAGTGACTTACTTTTTTTAAATCAAAGTGCCAGCCAAGTCTGGGGTCACTGATTCCATCTAACATCTGTATAAAGTTTTCACTTTCATTTTGGACTTCATTGTATCAGTTCTATAAATTTTACGTCACAAAATGCTCTTAAACCAAAGAGGCATGTGAAACCATCTGCTATTCAAAATCTGTTAAGAACAGACATGTAGATAAACTCAAACACTAAGACCTTTAAACTTTGAAAGGACCCAAATTAAGCTTTTTGACAAACAAAAACTGAATGACAAACATTACGGGTTGGAAAACTAGCACTGCACATTACTTTGAACATACTGTCTAACATGGTGAAATGGAGGTGGCAGAGTCATGCTGTAGGAATGCATCTTTTCACCAGGAACTGGGATGCTGGGCTGAGATGCTGGGAAGATGAGACGAGTTAAATTGTCTCATTTATCTTGTCGAGGCGTTGAGGCCTTTCAACAGGGCGACGGGCCCTAAACATACAGTCAAAGCTCCAAGAAAATTTAGACTATTGCCTATTCATTTACTAGAATAGCTAAATCCAAAGCCCATACCTAAATCCAAATAATAATCTCTGGTTCACAGACGCTATACCTCCAATTTGACTGTCCCAAAGTTATTTTTTAAATGAATGGACAAAGGTTTCTCTGGTCACATGTGCATAGCTGGTAGAGAAAATACCAGCTGTGGTATTTCTCACCTCAGTAGATTCAATACATTTTTATTTCTAAAAATGTTGAAAACTATCCAATCGTGTACTACTTTGTATTTTGCTATCACGTAAAATGATAGTAAATGCAATAAAGTTTGTATATTGAAATGTGACATTTACATGTGAAATGGCAGAAAGAGTTAGGTTTCTACATGTTTAAGGTTCTGTAGATTCTTGGATTAAAATTTGAATAAAGTTAAACTTTAGATATATTTATAATTCAAAACAAATCACAAGATGCTTCAACAAAGAATAAAAAACAGAAAGATATAAAATAAAATAAAAAACCCAGGCAGATTGAAAAGGAGACGTTTTTGCCAACTTTTAAAGAAGCTTCCAACTCAGCTGATCTCCTTGACAACAGATGACAGTTCCAGAGAGGAGAAAGCTCTGTCTCCTTTAGTTTTCACTTATGTAAACTAGTGTCTGTTCATGTAAAGCTCTCAAGTCAAAACTAGGATTATGAAATGCACTCAAAAATATACCGGAAGTTAATGTAGCATTATCAGTGGAGAGAGTCTGTGTGTTTGGTGAAGATTATTCAAACTGTCATTGATTAAAATACAAGAAAACAAGTGTACCGTAAAACTTAAACCTATTTCTGATCTTGTGTGTTTTCAGTGAGCTACCACACTCCCCCCGCTCCCTAACGGCTCGTCTCAATGATTCAGACTCCCGCTCTGTCCGCCTGTCCTGGCTGCGGCCCTTTGATGGAAACTCCCCTCTTCTCTACTACATCTTGGAACTCTCAGAAAACAGTACGTATGTGTAGATATTTGAATGTCTCGATCCCTGGGTATCTTTTATGGTTCCTGAGAGACAAACAGCTGCTCGCTAGCTGTCTGCCAGGAAGCGACATGCACTCAAATGTGCTCATTTACAAGAGACATGCATATGGAGAACAGTGTTCCAGCATAAACGCACAGGTTGCTGCTGAGCTCCTGTTTTCCAGCCTCTCCTTATCCCTCTTGCTCTCTTTCTTTTCTGAGTCCTGGTCTCTCTAAACCACAGATGTTTTAACAGCATGTTGGCTCTCTTTCAAATAAGGAAGGGAGGGAGGGAGTCAGGGAGAAGAAAGGGAGAACGGAGGAGTAAGATGACAGGTGAAACAGATGGGAGAGAGATGACTGCAAGCTAAAGGGATCTGCTATCGAGCCTTTACATGCTCAACCAGGCATTATGCACAAAACTATAGAATTGGTACTTATGGACAGATATCAGTTGGAAATCCACGTTTTGAAAATTTTCAAAGTTACACCTGTGTTAGTATCATTTAACAGGTGCCATGTTGAAACTACAGAAATGAACCAATAGAGCAGGGAAATAATGCGATAATATTTGGGGGAGATGAAGAAAAGAATGAGGAAACAAGGGAGTTTAAATGACTGGTCGATTTCTGTGGAAAAACCCAGACAGTGAGGAATGGATTGGAGTTTTTGAACACTGATTAGATTTTTTTTTCACTGTACTTCAGAGAGACCACAGCAGTGTAAATACAAGGCCCTTTCATATCAGACAATGACTCTAATATGCTGGCCTTGTACACTATCCTTCTCACTTACACTGATTCCCCTGAGGCTGATGCAAAAATAGGGATAATAGTGGATCTATCTGTTGTTTATTCAGCAAACAATTAGCTGGCAACAAGATACAGCAGCATCCATGCTTCTTAACTTATCCCCCTAGTCCCTTTAAAGTTTCTTTCTTGTTACATTCTCCTCTACACCTGGTCTTGTTCCATGTCCCTGTTTGTCCTTCCTCAGCCAGATGCCATCAGTCTCTAATATCAGTGTGTTGTTGTCTAGATTCCCCATGGAGGGTCTACCTATCTGAGGTGGATCCTGCAGTGAGCGAGGTATCAGTGGGCGGACTCACACCTGCAAGAACCTACCAGTTCAGACTCTGTGCTGTCAATCAAGTGGGCAGGGGTCAATACAGTGCTGAAACACAGAGGTAAGAGTAAACATGTTAAGGAAATACTCACTTAGTACCAGTTGTGTAAGAAAAGTGGTGTTCTTTTTCCTCAAAGTGCAAAATTTGAATTTCTTATTTAATGGCTACTTTATTTTCTTCTGTTTGGGAATTGTTGACAGGGCATTCCAATAGTTCAATAGAAAGTAATTTAAACCTCCGAGCAGTTTTCCTTTTCTGATATTACACAGATTGATCTATTGGATTCAATCTTTCTCATTATAATCTTTAAATATCCATACCCAGTGTATCTATGCTTCTCTGTCTTTCCCTGCCACTCTCTTTCTGTTGGAGACAGGATTAATTGTATTAACTGCTCTGCTTGTTTGTTTGTGTGAGAATGCATACTAAGGGGACAGTGTAATTTTACCTAGTATACAGATTACCCTGCAGATGTTTTATGCATGTGTGTATACTGTAACTGCATTTATAGTGTGTATGTGTCTGTATGTCCCAGTAGAGAAGCACTGATGAGCGTTCTCTACCTCATCTGTGGTAGGTACCACCTCATCAGTGGTAGGTACCACTGATGAGGTGGTACCTACCACTCATCAGTGGTAGGTACCACATCAGAGGTACCTACCACTGATGAGGTACCTCTACCTCTACCTCATCAGCCTTTCCATAATGCCAAGGCACCGATGGAAAGGCTTAAAACGGACCAGGTTTAGAGGGAGGCATTGTCTAATGTGTGAGCGTGGACCAAATCCCTGGTAGTCTGTTACTACACAGCAGATGTGATGGTGCATTATGAAACAGGCACACACAGACACTATCAAGCAGGGTTTTGTCCTACTGAAGCGACAGACAGATGCCAGTTGTTCTGCCAAATACACTCAGCAGCAACAGTAGTTGTTAGCATTCACACACCTCAGATTGCAATCTGCTTCTGGTTTCTCTTTGTGTATTCTGCTGTTCATTCTCTAAATATTCTGAATCTTTCTCCCTAATCATTTTCCTACTCCTGTGGCAGGAGGAGGAGTGTTTATTAATATTACTTCCATCCTTCCTCTTCTCTTCTCTGGACTGCTGCTTGTATTCAACAGCTGCTGTGCTGCCTAGTCCTCAGTCCAGTATTTGTTGTTGTAGGCCCTAGAGAACAGATTGGATTGATCCTCTGTAAATGAAAGACTGGCAGGCAGACAAGTCATCACTGGTCAGTGCATCAGAGCAGATGGACGCGTCTTTTCTTCAGCATTCATCTAATACGTAAACAGGCACTTCCTCCTTTTTATCTGCTGGATATTTTGCTGGATAAGACGCACACACAACCTGCCACTGATGCCAAGGCGCGTCCTACAAATGACACTCAGGAAGAGTGAAGCAAAGTGAAATGTCCTGCAGAAGCTCTGACTGCCCCATGAGAAGGATGACAGAATGCATTAATACGGACAGAGTGAGGGAACGGCGTGAAGCGAAGCAGAAGCTTTGAATATTAAGAACAGAAAACCCTTATTAAAGTTTGAGCTTCCAGCTGCTTCAACACTTTTCCAATTTGTTCTCAACATAATGTAGATCTTTATCATAAAAATCTTTTTTTTTTTTTTTTTTTTTTTTTTCCAATACAAAAATTTGTTTTTTTCCCAAAAACATTTTTTTTAAAGGGGGTTTCCCCTAAC